ATGTTCACAGACATTCCTCTTCCCTGGAAATGCCCTTCCAGACATTATTCTTAGCCTGACTCAGAAGAAATGGGAATCCTGTGGTGATTTCAGTTTTGAGGAAAGAGGCAGAATGTGGAGTGCTTGGCAGCTAAACTCAGGACCTGCTCTAAGATCAAGACCAATGGAGAGAGCAAGGCAGCCCATCCACTGCAAACCACAGGGCCCTGAAGGAGGAGTCCTGGACCTCCAAGCAGGAAGCTGGGAAGCCAAAGCCACAGCTAGCATGGAAGACAGACACTAAGATCTGCAAAAAGATCTCAGGTAGAGAAGCAAACAGGGCCAGTACATATGCTAACATAGAAAGTTTAGGGAGATCTAATGAGATCCTCTTTCAAGAAAAAGTACTATAGGAGACTAATGACTATTGAGAGGGAAAATTGTTTTTCCCAGATATCAGCATCCTAGTTGGTTATTCAAAACAAAGTGTTCTGCCCTTAAGTCATATAAATAGAAAAAATAATTAGAAGAAATAATGGACTCAGTAGCTCATATTTATTCATGAGCATAGATATACAAATAACAAAAGAGAAACAACCAATTTGAAATGAAGTAAGTGAGAGCATGTAGCGTGTTTCCTTTTGTGGCATGAACCAGCTCCAAAATCATGACACAGAGACTTCTTATTAGTTATGAATGCTTCCTGTCACATGGATAATGGCAGGAGAATGAAGATCAGAAACTCCCTTTGTACCATGGAAATAAATAAACTTTACAGAATCACACCATTGTGTCTGGTGGTGGCAGAACCTTAGAAGCATTCTAATCATATATTGATAAAACTCTATCTTCCAACTACACACCAAAAGCATGCCTGTGTGTGGACACTCGGCAGTGACACTGCAAGCATCATATCCTCCCATGCCAAAATGGCAGCGTCTCTCCCCTCCCTTAGAAATCCACACACAGTGAGGCTCAGAGAACAGGGGCCCTGCCCAGGTCATCACATGAACCAAAAGAACCACAGTTTGGCTCATGGTGGATGCAAATTCCAACAGAAATGACAACTCAGCAGACCTGCTATGAACACCCTAAACTCACCATGGCATATTTTGTGGCCTTCTTTACAATTCACTACAGCAAAAGCAGAGGAGAATCCTGCACAGAACCTGAAAGCTACCTTCCACTAACTAGTACTCATAATTGCTAAGACTTTCCAGAGTCCCTCAATGTCTAGGGCCACCCATTCTAGGCCTCAGAACATTAACAGCTCCCCTACTGGATGATCAGAGATCAAATGATTCAGAAAGCACAGTCTTCCACCCCTGCCCTTCCAGTCCTGCATACATGCTCTAGTCCAGAAAGTTTGTATTTTAGTAGACATTCTTCCACTCTCCTAGAGCACATCATGATCCTTGTCCAAAACACAGAATCCTTTTTATGCACATTCTATTACACACTAAATATGTATTGCAGCCAACCCATTGCCTTGTAGCTGGGACAACTACATAGGTCACAGGTCATAGGTCATATGCACACAGTAACTATTGCTATTGTTTAACTGTTGTCACTATTTAACTTTTGTTAAAGAAAAATAGACTGTGAATTAGAAAACAATGAGGGGTTATAGCAGCGCCTAGCAATAGAAAAGAGAATGTGGATATGATGCAATTATAATCTCAAAAAATTATACTGAACAGTTGAAACAAGCTTTAAGTCCATGGGCTCCAGAGACTAGGAATTTATATTACAGCACATCAAAGATTTCTCAGAACTTTTGTATCAGGGGTACCATCTAAAACCAGAAAAATAACAATCCTGTTATGCACAGCCACAACATTATGCACAGATCTATTTCAGTTGAACTACTGTAACTATAGAAATTTGGGTTCAAGAAAAGTTCAGTCTATTATCCAGGTTCATGACTGCCCTGGTCTATGAATCCCAATAATGAACAAACAGGGCATTCATGGAGCATCTGAAAGTGATTACCAAATGACACATTTCTAATCTTGACTACTGATGAAGTAGGAAAGATCTCAACCTCCATCCTGCCTCTCCCTTTCTGCACTGTGACTCTACCAGCTTCAAAGTTAGTCTGTGAACTTAACAACGGTACAGGTCCCTCTTCATTTTCAAGTCCCCACTAAAATTCAGAGACATTGGAGGTAACTCATTAACTGGTCTATTTTTCCTTCTCACTGACCAGTCAAAGACCAGAATGGAAGGAATTGTGGGACTGTCTTCCTAGCAGTGGGCAGCAAAGGCAAGATTAGGTGTCCAAAGTAATTCTCAATTATATAACATGAGGCAGTAATATTACAAGCTCATAGTCTCCCATGCCAGGATGGCATGGCCTCCCCCTCCCCAGAGAACCCACACTAAGCAAAACTCATAGGCCAACGGCCACTACCCAGGTCACCATAGGGACCAACACAATCTCAGTCTGACTCATGGTCCATCAAAGCCCAAGAAGCTTTGATAGATCAGCCAACCTATTCTTTCTAGTCTAGGGATGTGGCCCCCACACTCACTATGACATGGTTTGTTTTTATTCTTACAGCTCCCTACATTAGAACAAGAGTAAAATCCTGCAAAGAACCTGTAAGCTACTTCCTACTGGTATTCCATATTGCTATGCCTTCCCAGAGTCGCTCATTAGCTAAGACCACCCAGCTGGGCTTCAGGACATTAGTAGAGATCAAAAGACTCAGAGAGCAAAAACCCTCCTAGGTTGATCCTTCCATAATTGGCTGACCTGACAGGAGCCTGAACTGGAATATTTGTAGTTCAGTAAAATCTTATATTCTCCCAGAACACTTCCTATTTCTCTTCCAAGGCACAGGGTCCTGTAGGTGCACATAACATTACACAGTCAATGTGCAGTGTAGACAGCCCTGTACTTCATAACTGGAAGGTCATGCAACCAAACACAGGTAGCATTCAAACTGTATCTGTTGTTAAACAAAAAGAGGCCATGTCTTAAAACACAAGAGACTATGGAAGGTGTTGAAGGCAGCAAATAATACAGTGCAAATAATGTAATTATAATTTTAAAAAATCTATTAAAAAGATGAAACAGGCTTTATGGCTATGTGCTCCAGAGACTAGGGGTTTTTACTAGAGCAGATCAAGTACTACTCACAGAATTTCTCTCTGAGTATGCATTGTAAACCTGGAAAACACAATCATATTAGGCAGGGTGACACCATTTTATACAGTTCTACTACTTAGGTTGAAACAGTATAATTAGAGTAATTTGGTTTCATTAAAACTCAGTTCTTTATCCAGATTCTAGATACCCTGGTCTGTTGACTGAAGAAATGGCCAGTCAGAAGAACATTTATTGATCATCTAAAGTGGATTACCTACTCATTGCTAATGTCAACTACTGTCACAACAGGAAAGCTTTCACGATCTTCCTTGACCATCCCTTTCTCTGCTTTAAATACACTTGTTTTACAGTTGGTCAGTGAATTAAAATCTCACACAGTTTCCACTTTATTTGTAAACTCACAATAAAATCTAAAGAACTTGGAGGATACTCATTCACTGGTCTATTTTTCCTCCCCACAGATCAGTCAAGGCACAGCCTAGAAGGAGTTTCAGGATTGTCCTTCCAGCACTGGGCAGCAGAGGCAAGATAACATATCCAAGGCAATTCTCAATTACATAGTGTGATGTAGCTTAGGCTACAAGATACAGCCACCTAAACCTGTGGTTCTCAACCTACCTAAGACTGTAACCACTTAATACAGTTCCTCATGATGTGCTGACCCCTCAACTATATAATTATTTCCACTGCTAGTTCATATCTACATTTTTGCTACTGTTAGGAATTATAATATAAATATCTGTCTGTGCTTTTTGATGGTCTTAGGCTAGTCCTGTGATAGGGCCATTTGATGTCCCAGAGGGGGCAATGATCCCCCATGTGGAGAATCACTGCTTTAAACTGATATAAATGCATAGATGAATAAAGAAATAGCATTGAACAATAGAATGAGATTCTGAAAATGGAAAATATTGTTAAATAGTGAATATTACAGTAATACATTTTCAAAAAATGAATTTTAAAAACGATACAAATAATTTATGTTTATAACGATAAAAATAATTAGAAGGACACTTAGGTATACTGACATTGAAATGGAGTAGGTAATACTTTGATAGAGAGAATACCATTAATAAGACACTGTGTAACTTTGTCCCATGTAAAGTGTTAGCCACTGATTGTTTTAAGTAACTCATGGAGTTACAGCCAATGGCCTGTGTCTCAAACCTCTGTGTTAAGTTAACTGTGTCAACCAGCATTGCCCATGTCTAAGTAGGAGAGTTCTCTAATTTCAAACTGAATACTTACTAGTTCAAGATATCTTCCCCAAACTGTACACCCACCAATTCAGTCTGGCTTCATTCATATAGAAGAAATTAATCCATCCAGGAAAATTACAGAGAATGTCACTCACCCTGACCCTCAGTCCTTCTTTGTAATGGAGACCCCTGCAGCTCACTGCCTTCAACCTCAGTCTGTGATCAAGCTATTGTCTAGTCTGTTTCCCCCTGCACTGTACACAGTACACTGTTCCTCTTCTTCCAGTCTGCAGTGAGAAGTTATGCTCCACACACAAATCCTTTCCCTGTTCTGCAATGAACAGTTCACAATGTGACTCAAACTGGGAATTTTAGAACTCTGTGGTGTTGCAGATGTAAAATCCAAGATTTAGGGTGGTTAGTCACAAGGATAACAAGGGCAATGCCCTATCGGGCTACAGACAGGGTTCAATTCCACCTCAAGCAACATCAGAGACCATGACTCAAACCTGAAAAGACCACACAGGACCACGCAAAACCAGCGTGGAGCACACAGACACAGCAGGACCAGGAAGGATCAGGCAATATCTGCGGAACTCTTCATCCGGACACTGGCTCCCACCCAGCCAGCGGAGGACCCACCACACTGGCTCTCGGGGCTTAACTGGCCTCTCCTCCCAGTCTAGAGACAGCAGCCACTAGCTCACCATAGCATGGTTTTCCAGCTCTCCCATGTTCTCTGCTCAGCTCCCTGCAGCAGAACTCACAGCACAGAAAACCACTGGCACCAGCTTCTCTTCAAGCCAAGCCTGAAGCCCGCGACAGGAAGGACCCTGCACAAGTTTTGACTGGCAGGTTTCCTGGAACTCCTGATTGGCTAGTGAAGTGTGAGTGACAGGAGCACCTCCCATAGGTTTAAACTGTGCTTAAAGGCACAGCACAATGGTTCCTGATCCAGTTTTCCACCCCAGACCCAGAGCGTTTCTGAATCAGCTGTGTTTTGCATTTCAATAGCAGCTGCCCTGGCTCTAATAGGGGACCCTGCTTTCTTCCTGCCCTCCATAGGCAGTTCCCCTTTATCCTCCTGGACACAATGTGGCTAGCTAGCTTGTACAGTCTAAGGTTATTACTAACTCACACAAGAATTTTCCTAATCTATGCCTGAGGACCTAAATGAAAGCCTTGCTTGATCAGGCAATTCCTTAACACACTAGTGTTTTACTTTGCTTTTATTCTTATTTCCTTTTTCTCTTGTCTTTTTTTTCTTTCTTTCTCTCTCTTTTTTTTTTTTTTTTTTTTTTTTTGTATTTTCAGGACAGATTTTTACTGTGTAGCTCTCCTGGAACTTGCTATGTAGACCAGACTGTCCTAAAACTCACAGAGATCAACTTGCGCCTTCCTCCTGAGTGAGTGCAGGGAAAATAGGTGTGCACCACCACCACCCAGGTAGTGTTTTACTTTTCAAATAAGTTGACATATTTGTCATATTGTCCATCTGGCAGAACTATGCTTTTCTCAAGAAGAAAACTGGAACTTCATGGCATGCCAGGATTTAAGGTTGTTTGTTACCCAGTAATGCCTGAATGAGCAGCTTGTTAGAGTCCCATTTTGATTCAGTGTTAGGCCTAGTGGTTTGTTTTAAATAAACAGTGGCTCCTTTGTAATGGTTTGGAGATAAACAAATGTGTATCCTCCTGTCCTAATCTCTAACAGGCCTGACTACAATACACTTACATTTCAGGTGTTTTTTGTTTGTTTGTTTGTTTTTGAGGCAGTCCTCCCTCAGCTAACACCTATTTTGTGAGACTTACTATCTTCAAAGAATTAGTAAATCTTTTACATCACCAATTCTACTCTTCTACATCACACGTTAATAGTGACATGCTATCCAACACATGAGATGCCTTTACAACCTCCACAAAATTGACTATGAATGGATCTTACACATGAAAGTGAAATGCAAAGTGCTGAACATCTAAAAGTTACTGGAAGGCACTCTCCATGTTTGACAACCTGCTTTCTATGGGTGCACCAAAACCATGTCAAAGCTCACTACAAAAACATTTCATTTTTTTGTTTTTGTTTTGTTTGTTTGTTTTTGAGACAGGCTTCTCTGTGTAGTTATGATTCCTAACCTGGATCTCACTTTGTAGAGCAGGCTGGCCTTGAACTCACACAGATCTGCCTGACTCTGTTTCCCAGTGCTGGGATTAAATGCATGGGCCACTCTCATGCAGCACAAAGATGTTTGTACACACAGCTCACTGTGCCCAATTCTGTGAAGATACAGCCCACAGAGCAAAGTTATTCAGAGGCCTGCCCCAGGGTCCAAGATTCAAGTACCACATGGGACCTCATAGTACAAAGATTCTCCAGGCAGGTTCCCACCCAGATCCAAGCAGGACACATCACACCAGATCTTCCACCTCACCACCTCCCCCACTCCATCTGGAGATAGCAGCCCCTCACTCACCATGTCATGATTTCTCAGCTCGGCCATGCTCTCTGCTCAGCTCCCTGCAGCAGGACTCAGAGCACACCACACAAAACTGCTGGAACCAGCTCTTCTTCAAAGCCAAGTCTGAATCCAGTGGCCAGAAGGACCCTGAGCCACTTTTGACTGGCAGGTCACCTGGAGTGCCTGATTGGCTAGTGAGGCCTGAATGACAGGAGCACCTCCCATAGTATTACAGTGGCTTAAAGACACAGCACAATGCTTCCTGACCCTGCCTTCCACCCTAGACAAAGACTTTTTCGAAATGAGCAAAGATGTGCCTAATAATAGCACTTGCCCCTGGCTCCAATAGCTGACCCTGCTATCTTCCTGCACTCCATAGGAACTTCCCCTTCTTCCTCCAGGACACAATGTGGCTAGCTAGCTTGCACAGACCACTAAACTATGTGGAGTGGAGTGATTCCCTGTTACATAGGAAAAAGAATGTCAGGAATATTAACAACTAAAGAGAGATTTAAAGACACAGGAGGAGAGTGTTTATTATGTGACTTAATGCTGACATCAGGTGAACTGAAGGTACTTTTTACCTGGTTGTCATAGGGACTTCAGACAACCAGCAAAGAAAAGGAGAAACTGGATCAAAACCAAGAAAATAGGTCCATTGCTTTAGGAGTTTTATTCCAGAAATTCAGAGCAAACTCTTGGCAAGTTAATAATATCAAGGAGTAGTCTTCATGGATAATTTAATACATAGAGAACAATTGAGCTAGGAAGAATGTGTTTATGAACACTATTGTTAGCCAACACATCTTTCTCACTGGGCAGGTGAAGGAAAAAAAAAAACAACTGCATTATTCAAGGTTCTCTACCTGAAAATGATAGAACAAATCTCTCCATGTATAAAGAAGTGGATTTATTCAAATGTCTCACAAACTGTGGTTCAGGTAGTGGATCAATGGCAGCTGCCAATGGAAATTTGAAGAATTCAGTAGCTGTTTAGTTCATGAGGCTGTATATCTCCACTGGTCTTCAGTATAAACCACACATCTAAGAAGGTGGGCTCTAATGCTGGTAACGGAATGAACTTGGTAGCCAGAGCTAGGGCAAGCAGGCAAGGGGAAAGCTTTCTCCTCCAGTGTCCTTTATATATGTAGGCTGGCACCAGAAGGTATGTCAAGATTAAAGGTGGAGCTTATACTTTGTTTGATTTTTTTTAATGTTTTTGAGACTTGATTTATCGGTGTAGTCCTGGAACTCGTTCTGTAGACCAGGCTGGGCTCAAAGTCAGAAACCGCAAGTGATTCTGCCTCCTTACTGCTGGGCTTAAAAGTGTGCACAGACACCAAGCAGCTGAAGGTGGATATCACCTCAAATGATCTAGATTAAAGATGGATCTTTAATTTCAAAACCCTTCAAAAATCCCTCACAGGTGTACCCAACTATTTTGGTTTTAGTTAATTGCAGAGGTATTCAGTTTGACTACCCAGAATAGCCATCACAATATCCAAGACAGAAAAAAGGAGAAAAATTTCCTACCTGCAGGAGGATGGTAGAGTATGGAATGCTTTTCCAAAGCTTTTTCTGAGCATGTAGATTTTAAATAAGGAATCTGGACTTGTTTGTGTAGAGTTCTCCATATTCCTAAGCAGGCTAGGTTAACCAATCCATTTCTGAACATGAACACAATGTAAGAGTGGAGAAACTTAGAGGAATTTATACATAAAAATCATGCGGAGTCATATATAAATTATAAAAATGATGGAAAGAAATGCCTCTGGGATGTTAATCTTGTACCACAAGGTCTTAGGCCCTTTTCAAATACCTTCTAAACTCTTCCTTGTTTTGTGTTTTGTTTTGTTTTGTTTTAATTTTTTTAGTTTATTTAATTTTTAAATTATGTTTCTCTTTTTTTTTTCACCTTGGTACAGTACAAATTCTTATCCTAATAGTGAAATTTCTCACTATAGCTTGCCAAGTGATTGGGTAAAACCAAAACTTATTCTAAGACACAGTCATCCAGGGTCCACAATTCTAGGTAGCCTCTCTGGTTCTGTGGGTTGCAGTATGATTGTCCTTTGCTTTAGATCTAGTATCCACGTGTGAGTGAGTAAATAGCATGTTTGTCCTTCTGAGTCTGGGTTACCTCACTCAGGATGATATTTTCTAGTTTCATCCATTTGCCTGCAATTTTATGCTGTCATTGTTTTTCTCTGCTGAGTAGTACTCCATTGTATATATGTCCCACATTTTCCTTATCCATTCTTCAGTTGATAGACATCTAGGTTGTTGCCAGTTTCTGACAATTATGAATAATGTTGCTATGAATATAGTTAAGCAGGTATCTTTGTGGTATGATTTAGCATTCCTTGAGTATATGACCAAGAGTGGTATGGCTATGTCTTGAGGTAGGTCAATTCCTAATTTTCTGAGAAAATACCATACTGACTTCCATAGTGGTTTTACATTAGTTTCAAATATTTACAATATCTACAAATAATTTCCATCAATTGTTAATTAAAACATATTACATTGCTTCCTCCTTTTATGTCTTCATTTATTCTCTACACAAATTCCTTCTAAAGTCTTCCTTGGTAAGTGTCGGTGAATAAGTATGATGAAATACATGAAAACAACCTTCTGCATTCATTGTTGGTCATACAAATATGGATATTTGGGTGACCATGTTGTAATGGACAGATAATTAGGGAGATCATCCCTGCCTTATTCTTGAAATTAAAGGAGAATTCTACTTTTTAATCATTATCGTGTGTCTGACCCTGACTAGACTGCCTTGTACAGGAAAAACAATCAAGAACAGAAAACTTAGGGTAGAAAATGCCTTCCAAGTTAACAACACTGAAGATTCTTTCAGAGCATCCAGCTTCCATTCCCAGTACATATAGAAGCTTACTACTATATATAACTCCAGTATCAGGGATTCTGACACAGTCTCCTGGTCTCCCTGGCCACCATAAGAAGAGGAGACTTAGACCATAAAGATTATATGTCAAGCTGTGCGTGGTATACATTCTTTTAGTACCAGCAATCTGGACACAGAGGCAGGAAGATCACAGTAAGTTGTGAAGCCTGTGCTACACAGTGTATACACACACACACACACACACACACACACACACACACACACACACGCACACAAACACACTCAAACACACACACAAAACACACACACTCACAGACACAGTAAAAGAACAAAATGTAATAAAATACAAAAATAGGAGCATTGGAGAATTGGAATATAATACCTATTAAAGTCATTTCAAGTGTCTGACACTGCTTCCAGTAGAAACATTTTCAAAAATAAGTATGGCCACCGGGTAGTGGTGGTGCATGCCTTTAATTCCAGCACT